AAAACACCAAATCTAGCTTGTTTGTAAGCTAAATCTGTCCCTTTTAGGGCTCCACAGGGGCTGTAAAGGCCTAGAAGGATCAAATCGAGCTTGCAAGCAAACTAGACTTGACCTTTTTGGAGCTCCATAGATGCCGATTTTCACCACCAATAAGTAAATAGTGTTTTTAGGCAATGGGAAGGGCTCCAGTGCAGGCCATATGTTGCCCACTCTTGCTGTATATATTTTTTTAACTTGGTACTGCTATATTTATAATCTGAGCAGAATACATATCTGCATTTGCATTATGTCAGGATATGAGATGGTAGGGAAGGAAAGACTGTAGGTTTTGCATACTTCAGCAACTCTTATTATTTGGCCTAAACCAAAAGAGGGAAATAAAGGTAGCTCCTGTAATGAGTTGGGTCCAGTGCTGGCCATCTGTTAGTAGAATGGAAATTACTAATTGAGTGGACTTTTCATCCTCCTGGAGCTCTCCACACTCTCCAAATCTGCTCTGTGTGAGTGGAGAATCCTTCAGACTAGACTGGGGGAACTCAGGCAAAGGAGAGGATGGGGAAGTTTTGCTGTACAAACAGGCTTCCACTCCAGTTACAATTGGATCTAATCCTATGGGCCATATCCAGTTGTTGCCTGTACACTATTAGGACCACCATCAGCAGGAAACTAGTGGCCCCAGAAGCAAGTGGAAATAAGTGGAAATGCTAGTTTTTGAATGGGTCAGGCCAGTGGAACTTGCAGAATAGAAATCCACGGACTGGCTCATTCAGGAAATGAGCACGTCTACCCATTCCTGTGGTTGCTTTAAAAAGCATTAGTCTCTGTTTTCCTGGCAGATGGTCCTCTGCCAGAGGAGGTACAGCAGCAGTATTGGAAATGGCCTTGATTTTCCAATGTCAGTAGTCCCAACTACTGTCTTTGGTGGTAATGCAGAGGTGGGGAAAAACAGATGAATGGTATTAAAGAAAGAATCTGCTACCTTAAGGGGAGAAATTAAGTTACAGCCATGTACTTGCTTTGGCAAATTCTTGTCAATTGACCAACATTACTTCAGATGGAGATGCTGCAGGATGTGGGCTAAAAGAATGTATTTTCCATTCCTACAGGTCATCTGACTAGAAATAAAAAATGAAGAGATGCAAATTCAGAGTAAAGGGGTAGATAGAAGCTTTACCTTACTCTGACCCTATTAAGTTGTATTTTAGAAATTGTCCTAATGTACACTGATTTAAAAAGTGCTTGAAAGAGCATTTAAATGTATTTCCTTGTTTAGTTAAATAAACACAAATGTCATTTTCTAAATGAACACAAAGAGGAAAATTCTAAAAAGTGTTTAATGTAATGGGCTGTTTGCTTTTCATTCTTCCAATATGTCAGTTAATCCTGACTTTTCTATTGCGCCTTATAAGCATGTGTTCATTCTTAAATCTTTGAAGCAACAAATGGCTTTTTGCAAGGCTGCTAGAAGTGAGTGTTAATGGTACCTTCAAATTACAGGGGATCTGAAGCCTACAGCATAAACATACAGACCTGGCCACTCTCAGGAGAAGGTGAAAATACTGGGCTTACACCGTGCCAACCCCCCCCCCCCCCGGCACCTTGTCAACCCTAACCCAATCTTGCCACCCTTCCCTTCTGGCTGACTTTATCTTAATATTTATATACTGCCTCATTCCTATAGGCTCTGGGTGGTTTACAAGAAATTAAAACCAACAGTGCTTAAAAACACATATTAAAAAAACTGATATGAAACTAATCTGGAAAGACCTGTTGGAAGAGATACATCTTTCATTCACACTTAAAGGTGGTGGTCTGGGATGGCAGATGTGTATCTCCTGGTAGACCATTCCATAGTGTAGAGGAAACCACTGAAAATCCTCTGGGTAGCTGACATTAATCTTACAGAAACAGACTTCAGATTATCCTCAGAGGACCTTAGCTGATGAGGTGGAATGAATGGCCAACACAATTTTTGAAAATTTATTAGCAACCAGTATAAATACTTCAAAATAGTTGATATGTGGCCTCCTCATGATATCCCAGAGATCAGCCTGGCTGCCATATTTTGTACTACTTACTGTTTCCAGAGGACGCACAAAGGGAGTCCTATGTAGATCATAATGCAGAAATGGCCTAGGAGTTACTAATGCATCCACTGCTGTTTTCAGGTCATTCACCAGAAAGGGATGCAGTTGGCAAATTAGCCGAAGTGGATAGCAGACACTCTTGACCACAGCTTCTGAGCTGACATCTGAAAGGGAGGGTCAAGCAGCACCCCAGTCTTAAAGGGGGAATGTGACCCCATCTAGAACCGGTCGACACACCTCTAATCCTGGATTTGGGCCCTTAACACCAAGCACCTGTTTTGTGATTCAACGTCAATTTGTTTTTATTCATCCAGCCCATTACCACCTTAAGGCAGTCATTCAGAGAGGAGATGCTTTCTACAGAAGGAGCATCAGAAGTAGATAGGTAAGGAGAAGTAGATCTGGGTGTCATCAGCATACTGCTAATATCCAGCGCCACTCCTCCGGATGATCTTTCCCAGCAGCTTCATATAGATGATAAACAGCACTGAAGATAGAATGGAGCCCCGTGGGACCCTGCAACGGAGCAACAGTCCCTGTGGGACCTTCTTAATGGAGCAACAGTCCCCGAGGAACACCACTGGGAACTGACCCAAGAGGTAGAAATCGAACCACTGCAAAGCCATGCCTCCAATTCCTAACTCCCTCAGACAATTCAGAGGGATACTATGGTCAATAGTATCAACGCCCACTGAGAGATCCAACAGAACAAACAGCTGGTTGCCGGCTGCACTGGGGCTCTGCCTGACAGAAATTCCAGAAGCACCAGAGCCTTGAAAAGGAGGGAAACTCCTCTAAGGCCTGCTTCCTTGATCTCTAAGTGCCTGCCACTGGCATGGATGTACAGTAGGGCCTTCATCTGCTACCCATAAGTCTAGAAGAAATGGCTCATGTGCTCTTCTGGTGGTTCTCTCTGAGCTCATCCTTGGGACTGGAGTGTGCCATATTCCCAAAAACAAGTGGGTTCCAGCTAGCAGTTGTGGGAGGTTAGAACACCAAGATGGTTCAACAAACAAATGTAAACCAAATGTGTACAGAAAGGGTTTGGAGCTCCTGCAAACTCTGGGGGCCCTAAACTGTTTGCACCATCACCAGTGGCTGCAGCGTGAAGGGTGACCAAGGACAAGTGGGGCACTCAGAATGAATGCAAAGGAGAGGTGGTGTCCGCGTCCATCAACTCATTTGAACTTGCAGTTTTCAGCACCAGCTGAAACCTATTTCTGAGCAATCTCAGCCGACAGTAAAAACAATAAATGAAAAGTAGTTGGACTGGAGCACTTTTGGGGGTGCCAAGAAAGGTGTCCGAGGTGCACTGGGACCTGGAGGCACCATGCTACCTACTCCTGTCTTACACTGTTGGAGAAAATTTTCCAAAGAACAATAACAAAATCACAAAAGAAGCTTTTCAGGTGATGGCAATAGCTGCTCCTGGCTTTAAAGGGAGAGAGAAAGAGAGGTTGGCTGCTGGAGCCATCACAGCAATATGCAGGGGCAATTGGGTAATAACACTGGGAAATCCCTGGGGTTATTTTTGGGCAGTAATTTCATCACACTTTAGTTACCATATGCATGCAGAATTATGTTACCATCTGCCCATAACCTGAAGGCTACTGGAGTTTTGCACTGTTGATTAGACTGGCATTACAACAGAATTTAGTACTAAATTGTTAGGCAAGGATTGTTAGGCAAGTTCACTTTGTTGCCACCTTCTCTGCCTTTGCCTTGCTGCATTTAGACAAAGTATTCTTCCAGTGACCACCGCCTCTTTGCTTGCCAGCTACCCCTGGAATCTACAATTCCTGTCTGCCCTGCAGTCCACTAATAGAGGTTACCCCAGAATGCAGGATTTAAAAATAAACAGCCAAAGAAACATTAACTCTGTTCCTGATCTAACAGCTCATTTCTGCACATGGTATTTGCAACTGAGGGAAGTTCTTATACACACACACGCCTTGAATTAATTATACAGGATAATGTGAGAATTAGTCATTACGTATGAATTACTGGTAAGTTTGCAAGGGTCTCCATTGTGGTGCCTTTGGCACTCAAGTAACAGTTTTTAAAAATGTATTTTTAAAAATGTATGTACAGTACTTGGATTTGTATGTCGTGCCTACAACTTTTCGCAATTGTATACAAACTTCAGCGAAAACGGATTGAATAGCCAAATAATATCCATTTTAAGTTGCCATCCATTCATATACCCAAAGCACTGAAATACATTGCATTATTGGAAGTGAATGTTTATCCATCTAATTTTGTCTCTTAGTTATCAGAAGGGTCCAGATAATCTATTTAGGCTGCCTATGCAATTTCCATGAAATATTTTAACAGAGCATGTACAGTAGTGAATATTACGCTGTTTCAGTTCAAAATATATCTGTATAAGAACCACCTTATATATACTGAACAAACATGCAGTGGTGGTGCCCACAGCAGCTTCCCAAATTCCCAGAGGTGCACATGGGTCCAGAACAACTGAGAACTCCTGCTCTAGGTACACTTCATACACCTAATGAAGAGGGCCATAGTTTACCACCACTTAAGCATTTGCTAGTCTTTAAGATACCACAAGATTTTCTTGTTTTGCTGAAATAGCTAATTGTAAATGCACAGCTAATGTTTTAGGAAGACTTTTAAGGCAAAAATTCTATATACAGTTACCTGGGAGTGAGTCCCATTGAATTTAATAGGGCTTACTTCTGGAAAAAAATAGGATTGCCCTTTTAATAGAATTAATGCACAGGGGCTAAATAACAGAAAGTTCTGAGCAAAGCGGAAAGGGACCGAAAAAGGAAGAAGCAATTAGTTCAATGTTTGTTCCTTCTAAGGCTGTCCCTCCTACCCAGCAAAAAGGGAAGAGGCCATTTCTCAGGAAGAAGCACCCCTTAGCTCAGAACTGGTGAGCATTTAGCTAGACCATCTTTTTTTTCAGATGCTGCAATGATCACCAGGCAATATATTATCTTGGTTCTGTGGATTCTTCATTGTGAAGGTAACGGCCCTCCCCACCAGCATGTTAATGTCTTTTGTTTCTGTTTAATCTCTTTTATATGAAAATGGCATGTGAATCTTAACCAGGCTCTTAAGATTTCAACTCTTAATATTTGTTGTATATCTCTGCAATCCTCCACCTGTCCCCACCCTTGTCTGTGGTCAAGGCCTAACTGAGAAAATATGCAAACCAGGCTACCAGCTTTTTTTAAAGTTTTGACAATTGACAAAACAAATGTCCTCTGGTGTCTTCAGTGGACCTGAGGGCAGGAACCGTAGTGGAAAAAAATGCATAGTATTTGACTGAACATTGTAGTTCTTGGCTATATTGCTAGTAGAACAAGAGTGCATTAGTGAGTGAGTGTTAAGAGCATGTGTGTAGGGTTGTGGAAAATGCAGAAAATTCCTTCCCTTCCTCTCCCATCAAACTTGAAGGGCCTATAGCTAGCAGCAAATAATACATAGCATTAATAGATAGTGCTTTGCTTCTATAGTGCTTCATCTATAGCAACCTGCCCTAACCTAGCATCCTACAAATACCCCCCCACCCATCCTTGCCCATCAGCCATGCTGGCTGGGGCTGATGGGAGTTAAAGCTGAAAACATCTGGAGGATTTCACATTGCGAAAGATGGATGCACATGATGACAGTCAACCATAGAATACTTTTGTAAGACTTATCTAGAATTATGGATAGAGGTAAGGATGAGAGGTTGTTCTTGGCCTAGGGCTGCAGTCCTATACTTACTTACATATGTATCAAATGAGACTTACTTCTGAGGAGACATGCTTAGGATGTGCTGTAAGGCTTAACTCCTAAATCAAAACCAAGTAAGTCACATAGGACTTACTTTCCAATGAACACTAACTTAGCAGTGCTCTGTAAGGATGCCTGTATAGCTCACACTTCTAAGCAACCCTCCTTTGGCTCTAAACAGCACAGACAACGTATGTGATCAGTCAGTCATAATCATAACAATGATAATAATAAGCCTACATAACATTTTGCTCAGGGTTGCATTGATAAAACCCGTAGGTATTGTTGTGGTGTTTGATTTTCATCTTTTTCTGCATCATGGTAGTCTGATTTGCAAGTGACTGTTCCTGGGCAATAACAATGCATACACATTGATGCATCGTGCTTGCTTCCTGCTTCTGACAAGCATTTTAATGGACAAAGCTGGCCACTGCAATGTACAAGATTGACTGTATGAATTTGGAACTCATGGGAAAATGTTCTGATTCCTTTGCAATGGGATGATCCAGTAAGCAGGTTCTTGGAAGCCCAATAGGTTTGGTTCATGGGTTCTTCTTGAAAAATGAATACCCGGACCTTGATGTTTGTACGTTGATGAGATGCTGTCAAAACATTTATAGAAGATGTCCACAGAAATTCATTAGCACACAGCTTCCCAGAGCATTGGGAAATACATTCATGGAACACTGACCTATTTAGGGTGTGTTCTGAAGTGTGAAAGATAAAAATAGCGGGTATGCTACACAAACCAACCAGTTTCAAACATTTCTCCTCATCCCTACTGTCTCTCTGCTGTCAGACTGTAATGCTGTATTTCAGCTAGCTGAGTAATGAGGACATTTCCACCTCTCTCTTTCCTCATACCAGAGTTTCAGGCCAATAGCAGAGTGGGGAGGAGGAAATAGAGGAAGTCAGTGGTTGCACAGAGCAGAGACTCTCCCACAGCATCTTGCGAACAGACTGAATTTGTAACTTGCAATACCAGTGAGACAGCAGCTCTCCCAGTTCAGTATAATCTCCATCAAAGCGTTATTGATCTAATCATCTCTCCATCCTCATATACTTCTCTGAGAATGCTCTAGATTGGCCCCTGATGTGTATACCCAGAACTGCATTTATGTATTTAACACAGCAGAGGGGTTGACTCATACTTTGTCCCAGCAAAGTGCTTCTACTTATGACTGGCCATGGGAGCAAATTCGAATTCACCATTCTAATAGTCATGTTGGTTGGAAATGATGGGAGATGCAGTTGAATGTATCTGGTGGGCATCATGTTAGCAGCAGGCAGTTCTACACACGGGGGAGTTTGCATGCATACATAAGAGTTTCTTCCCTGCCTTGCTGATTGTAAAGCTAGGGTGCAATGTGAACTGGCCAACAGAAAGGCAGCTAGATTGTGTACCGGTGATTAAATTCATTAAGATATCTTGCAGTATGGACTATTTGGTCTGTAGCCATCTTACTGTTATTTAATGAGTTAATGTGGTGAAATTTGCCCTTCCCTTTTATCCAGGCTATAATCAGATGTTGCCAAAATGCTGATAAAATGCCCATCTAATTAGATTTTTTTTCCAGTTTTGCGTAACTTTGTAAAACACAACATTTCTTTTCCATCTATCAGGGAAACGTGGCATTAAAGAAGAGTCTTTAATCCAGATTGCATTTGCCAATGAACAAGTTAATGCAAGCTGCAAAGCTACCTTCCCTTATACAAAAGAATATACCCATTTCAAAGTTAGTTACTATCGGATTGACTCAAAAGGCGAAGAAATTACAATGATTAAGAGGGATATCTCTGAAACAATTCCGCAAGGAATGATGAACCAAACAACGAGAAAGATTTATAAACTTCCCATCCAACCTGATAAGCACAACTCTGTTACTGGTACCTACTACTGCAAAGCTGAGTGGCAAAATTCAGAAGCAAGCAATGGAAATGGGACATTTATCCTTTTCAGAGGTAAGTCTTTAAGGGCAAGTCAAGGTTTTGTGCAACAGTGGTGAGTGTGGATTTGAACAATAACAGGGTGGGTTTCCTTGTATAAAAGGATTTTCCACTTTTATTTCCTAGAAACAAGGACATTACTATAGCAAGGTTTGCACAAGATATTCAAGGCCTTGGAATTTAATCCTTAAGGCTAAAACTTCTCTGTATCTCAGAGCTTATCAGGCAAGACAGGGTTGCCTCCTCCGTCCTCTTTGCCCTCCTCCTCTCTCAGGCCTCCTGTAGTCTCCCAGGAGACACAGAAGGAGCAGTAAAGTATCCCCTCATTTGTGTGGAATCACTGTCGACACACGGGGGACACCTGTGTCAGCAGACCTTCCCCAGAGAAACTGGGGAACTGCATTCAGGAGACATCTTGGTGCTTATAAACTACCCTGCAAGAAGAGCACTGGATTCAGACAACATACTAAATCTCCATGGCTTATAAACCACCATGGCTTAGTGTATCATACAGACCTAGCCAATGCCTAATTATAAGCAAGTTACAAAAAACAGTCTTGCGGCATCTTAAAGGGGCACCATATTTATGGTGGCACAAACTTCCACGGGCAATAGTTAATTTCATTTGTTCATTCATTCAGATGATCAGCCATCCAATGACACACTCTCTTGTTAATGTACAAAATGTAAAAGAATAAAAATAAGTCACATTTACAGTGAGAATAATTAAGAAACAGGAAAATAAGCCAATTATAAAATCAAAATGAATAATTCAGACCTGAGCAAAACAGAACTGGTGAAACGTAGTCCATGGAAACTTTTGTTGAAATAAATTGGTTAGCCTTTAATGTGCAACAAGATGGTTTGATTTCTTTTACTTCAACAGGCACTTCTATCCATCTGGAAACTGCCTAAACAAATTGCAGTGGATGTTTTTTACTCCTGCCTGAAATTTGTGTAAGAAAGAAACTGAAACTGAAGGCAGGTAATAGGCTGTAAGAGGATTGCAAATGGTTTGAGAGAGGCTTTGGTCTGCACACACACTTCTTCTATCCCAATATCACCTGATGTCAGATTTTTAGGGTTTTGAAAGCACCACAAAGCATATAGTGCACACATCTCTGTTTGAGGGAATCAGGTTTTTAAAAGACAGGTTTTATCCCCCAAAGAGTTGGGGTTGGTTTAGAGGAGGGAGCAATATTCATGGAAAATACTTGAAATGTTTAGCTGACAGATTTCACAGAAACACCACAGAATTGAGAGAATCTTAGGTGTAGGTCATGAATGCTTCCTCTCCCACCAGAGGCTGGACATCATCCTGGCTAGACAGTCTTTAGGCATGGCCACTCTAAACAATCGTTTTGTATTATTCCCAAACCATTCCATAAGGCTTTTTATCCAATACGTTTTTCTTCTTCCTACATTCCTTTTCCAATTTATTTTATCTCAAATAAGCAGCTGCAATGATTATTTTTCATTTCTCAGTATATGACCAAAATATACTAAGTTCCTTCAATTTATGTGTTTTATGATTTCTTGGGCATTAAACATTCCCTTTAATACTTCATCACTGATCATCCTCCCAGTCTAAGCAAACTTGGCACTACTCAGCCCAAGCAACACCTTCACTGAGAATTCTCCTTTTCAGTAAAATAAAATGATTGCAAAGAAATGGCAAAAACACTTTTTATTATTTTATTTAGATGTTTATATACTGACCCGTACTCATAGGCTCTAGGTGGTTTATAAGAGATTAAAATCAACAATAGTTAAATTTTCATTTAAAAACTAAAAACAAGCTTATTCCATGAAACTAATCTGGCAACTAATTTGGAATGCTAGTTGGATGGGATACATCTTTAACTCCCTCTTAAAGGTAGCAATCTAGGATATCTGACATCTCTCTCCCATAGTTTAGGGGCAACCCCTGAGAAAGTCCTCAGGGTAGTTGACATTAATCTTACAGAAGGAAGCTTCAGAAGGTTGTTCCTAGAGGACCTTAGTGGGCAAGGTGAAATATATGGGCAAAGGCAGTTAGTTCCAGGTATGGGCACTTCCATGAAGGAAGTGCTGCAATTGCTGCCATTTTCTGTCATTGTGACACTGGCTCGCATTTCCCATTCAGATTGGCTTCAGACTGCAGGATAGCTTCCCAGTGAAAAGTGTCCAGTGGAAGAGAATGCAATAGACCAGCAATTGTTCAGATATTCTGAACGTGCATGTTTTACCCTACTCTCAAGTCTAGAAACTTCACCCAGAACATATTGAAGCTGAACAATTCTGCATTTGAACTCAGGTTCAGCACTGTCAATACACATGGTCATGCAGACAAGACAGACTAGATTTAGTCTTATTACAGATTTATATTTTTTAAAAATAAAAATGGTATTTCAAACTTCAGTTAAGTTTTGGTGCTTGGCCTTCCTCTTGTTTATGTCTTTACAGACAAAGGATATGAAGAGCCCCCTCATATTGCATGGATGTCTCTCATCACCTTTATCATTATTCTGGCTGTTCTGAGCATCATGGGAACAACTCTGCTGTTCTGGAAGAGAGAGGTAAGTTATCAACCATATTTTTACTTGACTCCACCTGGTCAAACTGCTTGCTAAATACAAAAGGTCTGTGATGTAATCATTCCTACTGCTTTTGAAACTGAATAACATAGTTTATTAAGCACTTGGCATGAAGGCTGTCACTTGAGCAAGAAATATTAGTTAATTAATCAACTACCTCTCCATAAATTTGCCCATGGCTAAAATAATAGTTTTGAAGAGACAAAATCCTTGTTTGTAGATGGCATGTCATGGCAAGCACCATCAAACAAGAGATATTCTTTCATACATGTTGAAAAGTTTTGAGTCAATTAAGAGCTGCAGTCTGCTTGCAAACAGGTATGATTGCTTATTGGCCAGTAATAAAACAATAATTCTGTTTGCGCACCCTGTTCTGTCAGAAAAGCTTAGCACATAGGTTTGTTCATACTCAAAGTCAAGAGGGCACCTTTCGCACTGACCTGGTTCACATGTAACAACAATCGATGGGTTATTGGAAGTGCGAGCACTGCCTTCTGCCCACTTGCAGCTTCCACTTCATTTCTGATTTTGTAAGCAACTAAGGAACGAACCATGGGTTAAAACTTTAGGTTGCTTCCTCGCACAATTCAACTTTGTAGATTCACACTTGTGGATTCACACGCCATTTTGAACAACCTACTGGAGTTTTGAATGATAAAGACTTAAGCAGGGCTTTATCATGTCCCCATGAAAAGGTGGTGTGGTCTAGGAGGAGTCATGCCAAGAAGTGCCCAGATCAGGGGCCAGCAGCTCAACAAGCTTCAGGCAACTTGGAGCCTCCTGAATCCACATACATGGTGAGTGCCTCTAGCAGTTCCTATTTCCAGATTACTGTTTTTAGTGAGTTTCTGTTAATAAATGTTAACCCAGAGTAAAGGCAGTTGCAGGCTAAATGTGTTCGCCACAGGAAATTCGGAATTGCAGAGGGAGAGTTCAACTGGGAACAAGTGCACACTGCCCAAGAGAGGAGGAGAAAGAATTACTGTTGTCTGAAAAGATTCTGCCTGCAAGTCAAAAGAGAGGGCACTGCCAAGACTTTTTATTGCCTGGGCTGAAGGAAGATTCCTCCCGACCTCACCTGGTTCCACATTCAGAAGTCAACTGCAATGACTTGTTAGAGAGCCTTCAGGCTACTGGGAAGCATAAAAATGAAAGAAAGAAAGAATTGAATAGAAATAAAGCAAAATGGCCAGTAAATCTTCCTTCCATATGGGCAATGAGGCAGCTTCCCTCCCTTGCGCCTATGGGCAGCAGCGGAGCCCTGGAGCCCTGTGGAATGCACAGCACTGTCTTGGTGCACAGCTTCCCTGCCTCTCTCACAGCACCTACTGCCTGAGGTAGGCACCTCACTCTGCCTAATGGCGGCAACAGTGGCAAGGTAGTCTGTGGACCAGATGCTGCGCATGCCATTTAGATTCTGAGGAACCCTAAACCCCACCTACCCAGGAGCTTCTTCTTTTCTGAGTGAAACCTGCAGTGAGAGTTTTGAAGCTGTTTGAGGAAAATAATGTAAACAAAGTCCTGCTCTGCAGGGAGGCATGGACAAGCGTGGACTTCTTGCTTACTGTATACTGTGCCTACTTGCTCACTGACACAGATTTATCCTTATTATGGTAAGGGTTTTTTTATTTAGCTGTAACAATACAGCAGCAGGTTCTATTCTATGCCATATTCTTGGATAAAGTATCACCAAGGGATCTGTCAATTTGGTTGATGTTAACACACTAGGGGTGCAGTCTTTTGCCCTCCTGGCATATTCTGGGAGGCCCCAGGATTTTCTGGAGCCTGAATCCCTGCCCAAGTCCTTGCAGCCAGTGTGGAAAGAACTGTGCTGGCAGGCCCCCAGGGTTGCAACTGGATCTTGCAGAGAGGAACAGGGAAACCTCAGGGAAGGGCAGGGAGGGAAGGAGGCTGGCGCCATGGAGACGTGCTGATTCTAATCAGTGCTCCAGCTTCCTTCCCTCCCTCTCCCCAGGGCTAAATGCAGATGGCAGAAATAGCTGTCTAGAAAAAATGCATGGTGCAAGATGCGGCACAGGCCAGTGCTGCCATGCCTTCCACTGAGCGCTGGATGGTTGTAAGTCTCCCAGTTTGGGGGTTTATGAGTATCTGCCACAGGAACAGCAGGGCTGTGCCCTGATCTTTTAAAAATAGGGGACCCTGAGATTGGGCACTTTTAACTACATATAGCCACAGTATAGAAATGTGTGTGTGTGTGTGTGTGTGTGTGTATATATATATATATATAAATTTCCATAAGTTCCCCCAACAGGACACCACATGAATCTCTTTTGTAGGTACTAATTACTTATCATATTTAATTATTGTTCATTTGCATCAAAATCTGAACATGTACAATAATAAATAATCCTTCCTTCCTAACCTTATTTGACGTACCTGTTTCTACGTACTTTCATAAGATCAGCTTATGCCATCTTTCTGATATCAGTGGAAGTTTCAGCCAAGTGTTGTGGCATGCCAGCATAAAGACTTCTGTTAGAATCAAACTGATTCAATGTTCATATGATAATACATTCTAATATATGTGTTTCCCTGTGCAAACTATTGTGTAGGCAAGTGTTGCAGCTTATGAGAAAAATGGAAATAACTTTGATAATAACTCATTATTTTGGAGGAATATTTACAAGGTAGCCCATGATGTGGGTTGGTAAAGAAGTTTTGCAAGATATAAAGGCTTCTGAGGCAAATGTATATCCTATCAGATTCATGTGTTAGATTTTTTGGGGTGGAGCACAATGTAAGACACACCTTTTTCAATTAAATGTTAAATAAACACAAGGAAGCAATATATTTCAACAGTGTCTCTTTTCAACATTTGGGCTCCTTTGTTAGTAATAAAATAGCTATTTGGGGCTCCCAAACTAGTCAGTCCTTCTTTCACTTTCCCCTAAGAATTATTTTCATATGGTGGGTGAGTTCTCCAATTTGTTCTGGAAAATACTTGGGGGCACAGTGATAGTGGTGGAGGGGAGTTGACAGGTGGATTTTCAGCGGAGAGAAAATTCTTCTGGGAGATCTTACTGTTTACTCCAAATCTGACAACTATTGTTTTAAGTTTGAATCTATTCAAGAGATAGTTTTCCAGTTTATGGAGGAAAGACTGCTCACTTGTTTGCGTGAAGTATGAATTCTGCTCTAGCCAGACTTACAAGCTTCTAAATATTTACCAAAATCTGGAAGACTATGACAACTACAGTTAAGAATTTTTAGAGGGATACAATATTGTGCCAGGTAAGATGTTTCATATGCCAGACTTGGGAATGGCTTCCAGGTCTCTTCCTGTGTCTTGTGCAAATTACACAAGAAGAAAGGAAATAGGCTTACTTTCAGACTAACTTCAATAATCAGGAAGGAAAAGATAGAACATTCATAGAGGAATCAAAAGGAGACAGTCTCCTAGAGGAGAGATGAAACAGCTCCAGTCCGTTGGAGATAGGCTTCATGTTGTGTTCCTTTGCAAGCAGTGCAGTAAGAATAAGCAGCTTAGGCATCTTAAATACATCTGTAAATCTGCTCTGAATCACTGAAGAATCAGCTGCTCTGAGTCACTAAAGGGAAAACAGAACATGCTGCTGGGCAGAAAAACAATTGCACTTGCATCCTGGAAGAGTGATAGGACTGAGCACCATGGTGTCCAAGGCTGCAGGTTGTAGTCTTTCCTTCACTCTTGGATGTACAAATTGTAGATTTTAATGATGATTTAGCTTATTAAGGTGACCACTTAGGCATTGCCAAAAGGAAAATAATGACATGGACTTGCATTAAAATTGTCCATGCTAATTTATATGTAGAGATGCTTATTTGGAAACAATTACTATTATTTAAATAGAAATACAGTGTATCTCCGTGAGGAAGACTGTTAGCAGGAAGCCTCTATGCCAGGAGCGAACTGTTAATGGGCAACTTCAAGGCAGTCCTCCTTTCTTCTTATGGTTCTTTATCTTTAAATCAGACCCGGACTGGGTGGATCGGCAAACAGAAGACAGTCCTTTTCAGAATTGAACAGTGGACACCCTCGTGCTCATGACACCAGGGTCCAGGACCAAGGTCCCAGGCTCCCATCTGATGAATAAGCCAGCCCCAAGCCCAAACCATACAGATGGTTTTTCCCAGGATCTTTTCATATATCTTTGTTCTTCAATGCTCTTTCTCTCCTGCTGTTTCCATTGCAAGTACAATAGGAGGGCTGGTGCTGGGATAATCATCACATTATCAGTTCCTTTGGAAGTGAGTGGTGGGAAATTGGAACCATGGCTACTCGCTTTTTTCTTTTTGCTGCATTGCTGAGCTGGTCAAATCTTGCACATTAGTGATTGCTCTGTTAATGTCACCTGTCGGTGCTGCCTTCTAAGGCTCCTCCCATCTTCCTGTTGCCATATAAACAGCCTAGCAACCTAGTATTACCATAAACACACATGGAAAAGCCCGCCTGTCTGCTATTTCATAGGCACCAGATAGAATTTTAGCATCAGCAGACTTGACGTGTATTTAGTTGCAAGTTTATTTGCTATCTTCATGCATTCATTTGCAGACTAAGTTTCCATTTCAAAGAATGAAAAGCAGTTTAGCCTTGGAACAGATTGCTCTCATTAGAGAAGGCAATGAATGTACATCACTTCAGGGCTAGCCTCTTAGCTGCCTGGGAATGTGAGGCATAGTTCAGCCTCTGTGTTTGGCTGCTCCCAGACAGAGCACTCTTTGCGCTATCAAAAACACGGTGCAGCTATTCTGTCTTTTCCTCCTTAAGGGACGCTCTCTCTCTCTCTCTCTCTCTCTCTCTCTGTCTCTGTCTCTGTCTCTGTCTCTGTCTCTCTCTTTTGCAGGTAAAACCATGGCCAAGGTTGCATGGGAGGGTTGCGCGTGAAAGATGACAACATTTGGATAGCTGTAAACTTTCCCTGACCAAAGTAGGGCAAATGCTTTTTTCCAGTCCTTCACACTGTAAATACATGCCTGAGCTCTGGACACATGAGCAGACTTGTTCCGTTGGTCCAGGGCAATTGTGAGTATTCAGCATGCCTAACATGCAGTCTTGTTGCATTTTGCAAAAAAATGAAAAGCTGAAGACTCAGACCAGGCTCCTTTTGTGTTACATTCCCAAACTGCAATCATCACCTAGTTTACTCAAAAGTAAATCCAGCTGCTGTTTATTCCCTTAGTAAAACTTGCTGGATGCAGGGGAATTTACTTTTGGGTAAACATAAGCAGGACTGCACTGCTATGTAGCTCCACAAGCGTGTCAGTGGAAAAGGGCCTTTTTCAATTTGTACATTTACACGAATCATTTATATAGCATCTCACAGAGCAATCATAATGGCCTCAAATAGCCATTATGGGGGTTAGGTTAATGTGGCTGTACTTTTCTGCTGGTGGCAGGGGCACATGGAAGCTCCCATGTGCCTGTGGAAATCTCTGCCATCTCTACTACCACTCGCAGTAGTGGGCATTAGGCCCTGAAAAAGGGCTTTCTGGGATCTTAGCAGCAGTGAATGGGAGCAGTCTTGGATCAGTTGGATCTAGAGCCCCTTTGCCCCAGGACTGGGTCTTCCCTCTGTCCCAGCCTGGGACTAGGAAGTGTTATTCTCTCCATTGGAACCAATGGAGGTAAGTCGAAAAGACGCAGGGACCTGCCCGTTCACACTGGCTGATGTGAACTGATGTGGTCCTCAAGGTAGGACCTCTCTGCCCCTTTACAAGATGTGCTCCCTTTTCTTATCTCACACTTCCTCATTAGAATCCTGTCAGAAAGGACATTAATGGCCCTTTTCCCTTTCTTTCTTTAACAGGAGTAAAAGTGCATGTGATTATCTGGGGCACTTCTTTGGTTTTTGGACTAAATAGGGTGTGAGCCCAGGTGAAAACTCTGTTAAGCTGAAACAATAATATTTCGAAATAAGCAAGGGAAAGGTGGACATTTGAGATGAATTAAAAAACGAACAAATTCCAATTTAATCTAAATCCTGTGCAGAAAAGACTTGGAAGGCATTCAGGACACAAACTGTTTTGTTTTCCCTCAGTCTTCAGTACACAGTACGTAATAGATTTCAAATGTCTGTGTCTTTGGCTTGTAGTCTTGCATCATGAAGCAAAGATTGCAATAATTCGTGGTTGGTACATGAACTGAAGGCCATGCTTTCATATCAAGACTACTTCATTCATTCCCCAGGTCTTGTCTTGGCAGGCTTGCAGAATGTGGGTGATGTAGGCAGAATTTCTTTGTGCATTTACCAGGGAGTAACTTTACTGAACACAGCAGGATATATTTGGAGTCCTATAATACATGGGACTGTGCTGTCAACCTGTCTATTTCTTTTTATTTCATTTTTATCCCACCCTTTTTCCTTTCATGGAACTCAAGGCAGCTTACACAATTCTCCTCCTTTTCTCAATCTTCCCTCACAACATCCCTGTGAGGTAGGTTGGGCTGAGTCTGTGAGCAGCCCAAAGTCATCCTGTGTGCTCTATGGCTGAGCGGGGCCTAAAAACCAGGTCTCCTCAGTGAATGGTGGTCTTGCAGTTGGAACACAGTATCGTTTCCCAGTTTTTCTTTCTTTGCATAGGCCTATCTAAATAGACCTATCTATTGGATAGGTCTATCTATGGATTGTTCTGCATTGTGACACAAGTGAATGTGACATGAGAGGCTAGGCTAAGCTATACGTATCGATATAATAGGCACAGGAGAGAGTCTATTACTGGGATCCACATTTTAAAATAATAGCCCTTCTGATTATTATTTAATTATATGTATAGCTTATATATGGTGAACATGCTCAATTTTCCTCATTACTCATTTCTCAGGCGTTAAAACCCCATCAATCTGACATCTATGCCTCCATTGAGAATGAGGCAAGTAGAACCACCACACACAGAAACACTCCTACAGCAGAGGTGAGTACACTTTTGTCATTACTCAGCCAAGGGTTCCCTTTGAACTGTTACTGTCAAAGAAATGAGGGATGTTGTGGAGGGGGAACATGAAGGAATGAACACCAGACATTTTTCAGCGCAGGAGTGGTAATGCCATCTACTGGTGCACCACCGCAAAGGACGACTCCTCTGGCAAATAAATGAGGCATTAACCAAGTTTTTGGTATTACTATTATTTGTGATAGGTTATCATATGGGAAGCCAGAGACTGAAGAAAATAATCAAGCAGAGGCTGGATATGTCCCTCCCTTTCTTTGATGGGGTTCCTTCTTTACCCCAACAGTCTAAATGGGAATAAGTTTTATTTTAATGATCATCACACTGTATATCCCAGCTTTTTTTTATTCTTACAAGGAACCCAAAGGAGCTTACAAAGCTCTTCTCTTCTCCATTTCATCCACCCAACAACTCTGTGCATTAGGTTAAGCTGGGTCAATGACTGGCCCAAAGTCACTTAGCAAATTTCATTACTGAGTGGGGACTAGAACCCAGATCTCCCAAGTACCAATCCAACGCTCTAACACTACCCCATGCTGGCACACTTGTTCACTGGATAGTTTGAGTGTCTGTTGAATGTTCAAGGTTCACTTCAGTTGGCTGAAGTTCTTTTCTTGAAGCTCAATTTTTAAAATTTAATCTTACATGGATGCAGAAATAAGCACCTCTGAGTTCAATGGAATGTTCACCTCAGTAACTGTGCAGAGGTCTGCAGCGATATTAACACAAATAAGCTGGGTATTCCAAGCATTATTGCTTGTGCACCTCTGTATCCATACAACACTGCCTTGTCAGAAACATGGAAATGGGCAAGAGAATATTTTCTCCTATATCAGAGTGGGCAACTTGTCATTGTCCAAATGTTCTGGCCTACAACTCCCATCCTTCCTCACAATTGGCTATACTGAGTTGAACTGACGGGAACTGTTGGCTAAAGCACTGACACACCCCAAGGCACATTGGTTAAAATGTTTTGCAACCTTCACTTTTTAACAAAATTCTTCAGTAAAACCAGCATACAGAATATTAGTTATATTGTTACATTGTTTAGTCCTTTATATTTTTATTAGTAATACACTTTTGTATATTAGAGTATGTAGATATACTGCTGTAGTTCTTCTCTTGCAAAATTAAACTTGCTTGATTATAAGCAAATTCTTCTAACTCAAGTTAGAAAGCAAACATTTGGACCTCACTGTCATTTATCTAGTGTCTTGTTTCCATGCTTGGCTCTGAACATGTATAAAGGTTGCCAGAGCATTTCTCTCTAGACAAGACCAATTGGAATGCCAGATGCTTAATTTCCAGATTATGTCTATATTGCTTTTGGGGCCAATTTGGATGTTGGTTGCTCCCTGGAAAGAGTAGATGTGGAGTAAACTAAAGCCCAGTATAGCCACAAAAATATCATGTGGGAATTAGAAACATGTGGATCTCATCCATGTACTAAAATGAATTCTTAAGTTCACATATCGGCAGGCAAATGAGACCCTGTGTTGCTTGCTATCATCTTAGATATTTTTGAGGATATGCAGAAACTTGACTGATTCCTATATATGCAAAAGGAAGGTAATTCTGATTTGTGATATAATAAAATGCTAAGATGAAGGCATAAGGCCCAATGAGAAGAAGAAAAAAGGAGAAATGAAGGACTGGATATTTTAGACTGAAGGATAGTATTCATCACTAGTGTGTGCATCTTGCTGTCATTAACCTCACTGTCCTTATGACATCTCAGCTGCTTTGGGAACCAAAATGAAACTGAGAAAAATGTCCTAGTGGCAGACCTTTGGAAATTGAACACACCTGAACAATAAGGGATTTTAAATGACAAACTTTTAAAAGCCCTACTCTAGGACCAGTTATATCACAGAATACAGTTTTGTGAATCACAGCATGCATTTTCATATGATGGAATGCCTCTTTGTAGAGTACATTTGCAGGATAGGGTAGAATGGATGCTGCATTTGTATGTTGGTGTAGTCCACAGACTGGAGCATCACGTGAGTCATTTATGAAGTAGGGTTCTGAGGCTGTTACATGCTATCAAGTCATCTCCAACTTATGGTGTCCCTATGAATGAACGTCCTCCAGAATGTCCTATCTATGAAAGCCCTGCTCAGCTCTTGTAAAGTCAACACAGTGGTTTTCTTTATGGAGTCAATCTATCTCATATTCAGGCTCCCTTTTCTTCAATTGCCTTCAACTTTCCCTTGTATGATTATCTTCTCCAGTGAGTCTTGCCTTCTCAAGTTACGGCCAAAGTATGATAGCTTCAGTTTTGTCAGTTTTGCTTCAAGGGAAAACTCTGGCTTGATTTCATCTAGGACCCACTTGTTCATCTTTCTGTCAGTCCAGGTGGTTCATAAAGCTCTTTTCCAGCACCTTATTTCAAATGAATCAATTTTCTTCCTGTCAGCTTTCTTCACTGTCCAGCTTTTACACCCATATACAGTGATATGGAATACAGTACTGTGGATGATCTTCGTACTGGTCTCCAGTGAAACTCCCTAATACTTGATTATCATTTCTAGTTTCTTCTTTGCTATCCTTCCAAATCTGTCTTCTTCTAATTTCTTTACTGCAGTCTCCATTTGAATTGATGACTGAGCCAAGGTATGCAAAATCTTTCACAATTTCAATTTCTTTGTTGTTAACCATAGAGTTCTGTAATTCTTCTGTAGTGATGATTTTTGTTTTCTGATTCTTCAGCTGTAATCCTGCTTTTGCATGTTCTTCTTTCACTTTTATCAGGAGTCATTTCAATTCATTGCAGCTGTCTTCCAGAAAATGGGAATCTAGCCTGATCAAACATTGGGCACTGAATACTGGCTTACAATACCATAGTTAATTTAGCATCAGCAACAAGCTAGAAGCTCTGGTCTGGAAGAACACCATAGCTGTCCAGCACAGAACATGAGTGGTTTTGATTGTACATTCCTCATGCTCAGAACCTGGGACTAACTAGGGATTTGTTGATATACCAGACATTTTAAGCTTACCATAGTCCATGGCTGAAAATAGGTATCATTTTGAATTTATATCTCCTAAAATGGTGATATTGGGTACTTTTAAAACATTCCTTTGATGGCCCCATTCTTGGGTGTGATATAGGACTTCATGACACCCATAACAGTCATAAGACTATCCAAATAATTGCATGGTTAACACACAAGCTTCCAGATATACTAAGATCATCAGCAGGCTGGCCTTCTCATAAAGCAGAGTGAATTCCCTGCCTTAGGTGGCTGAATAGCAGCAGCAAATTGCATACTCTCCCCCACCCCCATCCACAACAACCAGAGAGAAAATATGCACACAGAGACAGAGCGTAATACAACCCTACATTTTACTTGTTGAAAAGTCTGGGTAAAAGTTGAATCCATTAAAAGATTCTCTTGAATTTCTTTTTACATGGGATCCCTCCTGTAAATTAGCGTTTATATTGGCATCTGGCAATCTACAGTAAAATCATAATGAATGCACAATAAAAATGGGACCAGTGCTGCCATCACATGAAAAGAAAGATCCAAATACAAATCCTTATGTATTTTCAAGATTTTTACAAAGGATCTCCCCAAATCACTAGCAAATTATATCTCACTTGTGTCTACAGAAGTGTTCTCTGACTTGATGGGGATTTCATTGATATCACATGTAAAAGCTATGAGGATTTATGACTTAAATATGTTTTGTGTCTTGGTGCTGTTCCTGGTTCTGTGTTTTTACTGTGCAATATATTGACACTGATATAGGCTTTAATTTGATGGTGGTTTTAGGAGGGATCTTGTATAAAATGTTTGCAGATTCATGAGGATTTGTTTTGAAATTACTAGATTTGATGTTTACCTTCTTGCCATTTGGTGACTGAGCATGCCTGAGTGCTACAACTTCCCTGCTACTTGTAAAATTCTCATCAAAGGACTTGTCAGACCTGCTCTGTGTTCACTTTTAGAAAACTGGTGGAAACTGTATTCTGCTGAGTTTCTGGAAGCAATGGCTGATTTTTTAAAAACTGTCCATGAGATGTTGGTTTGTTTGGCTTATATATATATTGTTTTTAACTGCTCTCGTTTCATAAAATACTTGTTTGCCATCCTGACTTTCATGCCCGAGGATTCAACTGCAGGATAAATGTTTTAAATAACATCTATAAAATCAAATGAAATTAGATGGTTCACAGATTGGAATTATTTCTTTGAACTGGGCCAGGCATAGATGATGAAATTATGGAGAAATATTATCCTGTAAAAGCTCTGTTCCTTGTAGCACAGAATCCCTATATGGATGGAGGCTGATTATAATGGCCTGTTCCTGGGGATCTGTTGATCAAATAGGGTTTCAGGACATTCAGGGGTGATTTGACTCTTGATCATAGCTTAACAGGTATTAGTTGATGACTCAACTATCTTTGGAAAATGAGAATGGTTGAGGCTATCCCTTCTCAGCATCCCTTCTATATAATATTCTTCTTGATCATTGAGGGTTTAGAGGAGTTGAACTGGCAAGACAAAGAGTGGTAGAATTTAGAATGAGCTTCTGAACATGCCACATTGTCCTTTGAGATCCTGGTGCATGCCACAAAGATAGATTTTTTTCCTGTTAGGATTGCACCTGTGAACTGTTGGCTGGTGGATTTTTCACGGAGCCTGAAGGAACCATTATAACCTGGGTCTTCTCTCACACACCACACACACACACAGTCGGGTCTACATAACACTTTAAACCTGGGAGGGCTTATAAGGCCAGCTGTGTAGCTATCTAGCCTAGGGGCCCCAATGTGTCCAACAGATGATTGGGCACAGCAGGGTCCCTGAGCTGTGCTTTTCCCCCTTAGTCCTCATGTTGGTATTCTGGGGGACACTGCTCGAGCGCAAAGCAATGTTTTTCCCCCTCTCTCTGCTATAACTGTGGGCTAATTTTGGCTTGCTGCTGCTTATCTTTTAATTTCTTAAACACAATGTGCAGGCTGGCTATAGTCCTAGTAGTAAAATTAATTGTCACCCTGTTTTCAATGAATTCTAGGTGTCCGGGCGGAAAGCAAAAGGAGAAATCCAAGATTTGTATGAAAACAATATCACAGAAGTGTATGAGAACCTCTAAGGAGAAAGACTGCACTGCAAATCATACCTTGCTTCCCAGCCCCCCCCCAAAAGGGGGGGGTCTAAATTCCCACTGTTGTTAAACATTGAAAAAGTAAACTGTTGCAAGGCAGAAATATTTACTGATCTGGAGACAGAGCAATAGACTGGGAAGTTGTCCAGAATAGCCAAATAGAGTTTCTACACAACCAACTAAACTGTGGCATTAATTTCTTTCTGGTAAACAGAATCTGCTAATAAAGTGGGCATAAGAGCATGAAGAAAGAACAAAACCTCAGCTTACCATGATTTGTGAAGTCTCGTTTAGAGGGCAGTACTTTGAATGGAGCTCCTGAAAACAGTATGCCCTTATAAATCCAAGAAGGGTATCTTCAAAGTTGCACAGGCTGTTGAATGCACTTGTCTTGGTTTACACTGGCTTTATTGCACACGATGACCAATTTGGTGAGGGGATTTAGGATGCTGTTTAGGATGTCACTGTATTTTTTAAAAGATGTATTTATTTCACCATTTACAACAGGGATGGAAACTACTGGCTTATGGGCCAAACCTGGCCCACACTGCTCTATCCTGGCCCACACTGTCCTGACTTCCCAAAGAAGAGTGCGGAGAAGAAACCGCATGGTTTTCTCTGACCAGCCATCCAGTGATATCTATGGAGATTTCCTTGTATGCAGTTTGCCTTTCCAATTGTCACAATATATGAGACTCAACAACATAAAGGTCACATATATGAATCCTCCATCCCTTGGATCCCCTTCCCTTATGGGATCTAGAGTTTATTATCTGGCTGAAAAAGAAAACAAGTTCTGCAGAAGGATCTATTCTATGGGTTCCAGACAGTGTCAGGAAGGAGGCATAAGATAGGTCTGGATTCCCAGCTCTGAGGTGAAAATGAGTGTTGTAGCTCACAAGCAGAACTTGGACCCCATACCAGTGACCCTTGCACCCAACACAGAAGGAACTGTCTTGGCTGCTCTCCAAAGCAACCTCAGAGATGGATGAAAGGAGAAGGGGAGAAAAAAAGGTGGGAGCAGCCAGGATACAAGTTACCAGCTCTTGGGCAGCTGCTCTGGCCTCTTTTGCTTGCTCTCTGAAATGAAAATAGCAATCTAAGCATAATTGAAAAAGGGAGCATCTTGACTGGATAGCACCCTGGATTGCACCCTAAATCTACTGTCTGATCCGATTTAAGCAGTGAACAAAAACATTTGGGCTACCACGCCTTAGATTTCAGTTATAAAATCAGATCACTCATCATCATCATCATCATCAGTTTCAACAAAGAGTTTAAGATATTGTTTGTGTGCATGAACCAAAGAAAATTGTTATCATTTGTCAACCTACAGGAATTAACTGAAGTAAAAGGAACAAGTAAATTATATGCCTTGATTAATTTCTTCATGAAATAGTCATCTGCTTTTTCATTTTAATTTTTTTACAACATAAGCCTGCAAGCAGAAACCATTTTACATGTTACCAATTTTATACTAGCTGTTTCAGGAATCTTTTCGGCTGAAGAAATGAATAAAAATGCTTAAAATATGTTCATTGGTAGTATTTCCAGGCAGACCTCTTAAAAATCAAACATCAAGATTGATGGAAGATTAATGCTTGCAATTAGATCATTTCTCACAGTTCCAGTGTTGAATATATTCTTGACTATGGAAAGTACACTAACCGCCCCAAACCCCAAACTGTGGGCCATTTGATTATGTGAACTGGTCACTGAGTGAGTTTTAGAAGCTTTAGATTCCAAGGAAGAGCCATTGGATACAATAAAAAGTTCTGTGGCATGCTAATATTAAACGGATATAGTGACACCTGTGCTTATGAAAACAAAGTTTACTTCATCAAAAGTAGACAAAGTATACTATTATTTTATATTACATAAAATGTTAGAACAATTAATACAATGTTAATGATGGTACACAGTGGAGCGAAAGGATAAAGGAAAGCTTAATGGTAGCAGACATATAATACTTGATCCAATCAATTAAAGTTATGCTTCTTCTGCCATCAATAGGAGATAGGCAGGCTCATCTTCTGCACAGGCCTAATCAATCACATGCTGAATACAGATCAGACAGGAGTACTACTGTTTAGTAGGGGTAGGGGGTGCTTCATTAACAGAAACTTTGCATGCTCCTGTGATGGCTTTACTTGGCACAAATCTGTTCCTATCCAAAGTAGGCACAGTAGCATCCTTCAATACCCTATACAAACTAGACAAGTTTCAGAAGAGGCATCCAACTGTGTTATGAGGAATAGAATTGAAGAAATAGGACTTTAATGTGGTGGTGTTGTTACACACCATCAAGTTGTCTCTGACCTGTGGTGACCTCATGAATGAATGCCTTCAAAAGGGGAAAATTATTAGAGAAGGCATGAGAGCATCTCTGAAATATCATTTTTTTAAATGGAAGAAATGTTTACCAGAGACCAAGGAATGGAGAAGCAGCTTTCAGAAAATGTGATCTGGATAAAATACACTGGAATAAGATGAGCAGGGAAGATGCAGGCTTTCCAGGCTTCTCTTTTTAAAAAGGTTGGATGGTTGGATTGGATGTCATGAATTACATCTAGCAAATTCTGCTCTTGCAGAATATGCAGCTAAATAACCATCCCTTACAATAAAACATTTTTTAAAAGATGGGGGATTTCTTATCCCTGCCCCACCCCCTACAAATAATATGATTTTCACAGAAGGGGGTAAGATGGATTTAAGGAAAGCTATCCCTTAAGCCACCAGGTGGTGCCCTTGATTCTTATTGGCTATCCTTTTTGTAGGTTCTTAGCTTTGCCAAAACCATGTACACTTTCTTTCACTAGTAGAATTGTATAAATTTAGCCCACAGGAATTACAGTCTGTTTGGTTATGTGTAATACTGTTTTACATAACAATTGTGATTATGCCTATTTAAACACAGAGTAGGTTTGCCAAATGTCATGCTAAGAGAGTAAGTTCAAGGAAATTCTGTCACAAAAAGCATTTTCCCCTCCAGGATTCATACTATTCTAAAGCCATAGATGATATGAAATGTTTCTGCATCTTCAGGATGTCAGAGAATGGAACAGGGCTACTTATTTCAGAAAAAAACATGGAGCTGGCTTCACCCAGCATATTAACCCCTGTCCAATTGTTGCAAAAAGGTACCAACTGAGCACATCCACCAGCTCCACCAGCTAAAGATGAAAAGCAGAAATAAAGCTATGCCAGCAGTACACAGATGACAATGCACTCCAAAGATTCTGATGACTCCACTCAGCTGTTTAATGGGGAAATATCAGGCTCCTGATGAATCCCACTCTAAGGAATCCATTGCAATATCCCCAAAGTACCACATTCTGGAACTGACCATTCAGGTAGTAGTGAAACCACTGCAACATAGTACCTCTAACTCCAACAACAGATGGACAGCCCAGTAGGATACCAGAGCTAATGCTATCAAAAGCCACTGAGAGATCCAAGAGAATCAGCAGGATTACATTCCCCGTCTCTCTCCTAGTACAGAGAATCATACAGCTACTAAGGCCATTTCATAGACTGAACTCAGACTGAACAGATCTAGATAATCTGTTTTATCCAAGAGCAACTGAAGTTGATCAATTGCTGTCCACTTGAGGATTGTGCCCATGAAAGGAACATTTGTCATTGGTCTAGAGTTGTGAAGATCCTCCAATCCAAGGAGAATTTCTTCAGGAAGTGATCTTATTGGTTTATTGCTTATTACTCTTTCAGGTGGCCTGGGACTACTTCCTCTAGAAGGCATTAATAATCTTCCTACCCCAGCAGACTGCTTTCTCCTTACCAGAATGAATAAGCCACAAGGCCAAAGATCCAATACAGAAATGGTTGCATGAACCTGTACAAACATGTTTATATTGCGATTTATATCCTGCCTTTTTCCTACAAAGGGCTCAAGGCAGCTTACATCATCTCTCCTCCTCCATCTTATCCTGACAACAACAACCCTGTGAGGTAGGTTGGGCTGAGAGTCTGTGACTGGCCCAAAGTCATCCAGTTGGCTCCATGGCCGAGCGGGGACTAGAACCCAGATCGCCTGAGTCTCAGTCCCATGCTCTTAACCACTACACCACACTGGCTCATGTTGTGAATGTTCTCAAGCTGTAACAACTGAAATTCATTTATTTAGTTAGTTATTTGATTTAATTTGTATACTGCCTAGCAGCCAAAGCTCTCTGGATGGTTTACAACAATTCATTCAATAAAATTGAGCAAGATTGCACTTGGGATACCTCATCTGCTATCATAATGAATGAAAATGATTTTATGCTGGAAATGCTTTCCAAACCTGTCATAATGGCCACCTGATAGTTCTACAGCCATTGTAGGGATTGCATATAATAGGCCTTGAAAAATTCCAAAACATTGCACTGGATAGCATAGACATAATATAATGGAGGATAAGAAGAAACATTTCTTTACCAGTTTCATGATCCCTGAATAAGCATGAATATGGGCAGACAGCAGTCTTTGACTGCATTTCTTGGGAGTTTTCTTCATCTGTACTCAAGCCAGCACCCACTTTGCTTCAAAAGGCCCTATCAGGATTCTTGACAATCTGTATCCTGTATCATTCTCTAATTCAGGTTTAGCAAAATGTTTTGTGTTTGTGTTTATCAATTATGAAAAATTGCTTTACCTTACACCTGAAGGCTTAGGATCTATTATGCAGAAAATTAGCACTCCAACCCAGATATAGAAAAATATGGTAACAGATTTTCACAATGGTCCATTTCCTCAGATTTGTATATAAGTGTTATTTCAGAGCAACAAAAACAATATAAAACATGCTTGTGCTCGTCTTATGATTTGAAGTTGTGTGTCAGGATCTCACAGCTGAAACATTATCTGCTTCAGCAGACCAGGCATTAAGACCAGGCACTGTGAGCTGTCCAGAGACGCAGGGTGATTGGACGGGCTACAAATATCCCAAACAAACAAACAAACAAACAAACGTCAACTTAACTAGTCTTCAAAAAGCCCTGCTTCACAACACACATACACCACAACAACAACCACCACCACCACCACCACCCCACAACCCCTCCTGCTTGTACATTAATTTATTTCATCCTGCAAAAGCAACAAAACTCAGCTGGGTATATTAGCGCCAGTCTCCTACCAGGGTTTGTAAAAAAAAAAAAAAAGTCAGCATGTATCAGGAATAGAGCAATCTCTCACACCATATCTAGTTATCAGAATCTTAAAAAAAAACCAAACTAAAAAACAATAGCATGGAGCTCCTAATTTGATTACAGAAATGGCACTAGGGAAGGAAGATTTAATCCTTTCCTCTCATATTATCTCTCTGATCTAAACCCTTCCTCCACAAGCTATAGTTTTGCTCCATAAAGCATAACATACAGGGAAAAACACCCACTTATAGATCTTCTGTCACATCTAGCTTGGCCCTCAAAATCTCATGCTGAAAACACAGCGTGTCTTACTGGATATGGTAGGTTTTCAAAAAGCCTTTCTTTTCAGGAACACATAATGGAGGTGGCCTATAGTAAAATCAGAAATTGTGCTTTTGCAGGTTTTATGAATACCAGGCTGTCTGATTGGGGTGTCAGACACTATTGGGGTGTCAGACACTATTTGTTAATAAGTGATGCAGAGGTGAGCAAATATGCATTTATTGTGTTGCCTTATTCCGGTTAGGTATTTGATTAGGGAATATATGAATCATTACATGATACTGAATATTCTGTTAGGAAACAACTGTGAGAGCTGGATATGGTCCATGACACTAAGGCATCCTACAGAAGGCAGCTGCTGTCACTTGAGACAGCAGCCTCGGTTGACTGGTTAGTAAGTTAGGATTTCTGGGGTGGCAGATTGACCAGCTTTTTCAGACACTGCTACCAAGATGCTTCAAAGAAAGTGAACTCACAGCATGGTCATATGATCTGGGCCCGGCTAAGAAATTACTTTGAGGTGCAGCGCTGTCCAACCCCCCCCCCCACCCCCTTTTCTGTATTTAGGCTGCAGCTCTACCTCTGAAGTGCCTCGAGAATCCGCATCTGCAGAAAAGGAAGCAGCTAGTTCCCAAACCACTTGAGCCTCGCACTAGCGGAGCGCTTTGGCAAAGCAGCCCTTACCCCCTAGGCGCACTCGCACGTGCTGCAGCGAAGCGGAAGCATCCCTGCGCTCCCGCTGCCTTCGTGGTCTCAGCCCGGGGTCCTCTCTCCAAAGACTTCCCCTGCCTCGAGAACCCGGGGAGGGAGGGGATAGAGGGGAGGGAGGGGGAGGCACAGCGCGTGCGGGGGAATCGGCGAAAGTCACCCTCCCACTCTTCAAGGCATCACTGTGAGATGCCAGACCCTCATCGACACCGCGAGCACCTCCAGGCTCTATCCCAATCAGCCCCAGCAGCCGCGAAGAGGAACAAGCCCTGGCAACGGCAGCCGCGCTCCTCCTC